CTATCTATCTATCTATCTATCTATCTATCTATCTATCTATCTATCTATCTATCTACAGCATTTCCACTGAGCCCTGAGACGAACACGGACAACTCTGACTTCACTGTGGTCGCCTCTGTTGGTGTCGCTGTTGTCGTTCTTGTTGTTGTCGTCGTCGTCGTCGTCGTCGTCGTCATCGTCGTGGTGATTGTGCTGGTGGTGAGGAGAAGAAGTAAGTGTGACACATAGACTTATAGACATGAATTATGATCTCCTAGACCGGGCACTGTCATGGCTGCCGCTCTTTGTTCTGTAGAAAACTTCTCTGCGCTGGTGCACGCAATGGGCGTGCAAAGGAAGTACAAAACGTCGAGTCTCGCAATTGTCGATTTCGTACGACACCTTTCCCCCATTTCCTTTCACTTGGTTCCAATTAGAGTGAAATGGTGTTCTCCGTGCTGACTAGGAAGTACGTCAGAGTGTGCAAAGTCTGGGATGTTATAACACTCGGCATTGTCCTTCGGTGCACCATACCCTTTGACCCTGAGGCGAGGGCAAGCAACAACGGACGTTGGTCACGTGTCGTGGCGTCAAATACATGCACATGTACTCCCGCTGTAGCACTCCCCTCGCTGTTTCACTGACTTGTTATGTAGGCCTGTTGTTGCCACTTGACCGGCTCTACTGGAAGCTCGAAATAAACTGCTCGAAAGCAGTATGCATCATCTTTACAAGAAGCCATAGAACAGCCGAAAAAAAACCCTCAAACTGAAGATAGGAAATGAAATTATCACCAAAGAAAAACAACCAACATATCTAGGAGTCAAACTTGACCAAAGTGTGACCTTGAAAAGCCAAGAGGAGAGTATAAAGAACAAGACGAAAAGAAGACTCCAACTTTTAAAGAAACTTGCAAGCAGTTCATGGGGATCAGACAAACAAACTCTGAGAGCTCTAAACCTTGGTTATGTCCGATATTCTCTGGAATACAGCAATAGCCTACTCACTATGTGCAGTACAACTACTTGAAATAGCAGTAACAAGGTCCAAAATAATGCCGTTCGTTTCATAAACGGTGACATGAGATCTACACCTACTTCCGCATGTGAAATTCTTTCAAATGCTGAACCCCTGGGAATTCGCAGAGATAAAGCAGTTTTGGAGCTCCATGAAAGAACCTAAAGAATAAGCCCCAACCTTCCAAACAGGAAATCAGTGGATTCAATGAAACCAGAGAAACGACTTCAACAAAAATCGACCAATCATCACATTACAGAACTAACAGAGCGTCACCTTCTACCATAAAACAGAAGAGAAACCAAAATAGTCAACCAAAACATTCCTTCCCCCAAATTGTATGGAAAAAAACAATCGTAACAACATATCTCAGAGACAATAGCACAACATCTTCAGACCCTGTGACACTGATGTTTGCATCAAATCAAACAATCTACAGCTATTCAGATGAGTGGATACACGTCTATGCAGACGGCTCAGTATTCATAGGAAGGACCGAAGCCGGATATGAAATACTAAAACAGTACCAAGATGGAAGTTCCATAGAGATCTCTGCTGCCTGTGGAGAAAAATGCAGCAACTACGATGCAGAAATTGTTGTAATTGAAACAGCACTATACCATCTTCGCACAGGTTTTGACATTCATCCAAACAAAACACAGAGTATGGTAGTTTTCATAGACTCACAATTAGTCTTGCAAGCGATAGAAAATGAACATCCTCTAAACCAAGACTTTACTCATACTGTTTGGCTCCCATCACCTGATAACATCCTGCGGCGTCAACGTAGTGATGCAGTGGATTCCTGAACACTCAAACATACCTAGAAATGATAGAGCAAACACACTCGCCAAAAGGGAATCTCCACATGAAAAACCCAACATTCCAACTTCAGACAACACTGCAAAACATTAAATGGGGGGGGGGGTTGCTACACCCCCAAAGTCAAAATTCGGCTCAAAATTATGGAATATGAGTTGTAGGCATTTTTAGCTTCCTCCGCCTCTTCTACAATTATTTCATTGCATAAGAAACCCCAGAAACCGATTTTTTCCCATACCGGGCATGTCTGTGACCGCCATTTCCTCATATAGTCAGTATTTTATTTTTCTTTATCGGCCGTTTTCCCAAAACGCGACTTTTCTCTATACTTTTTGTAATGACTCCACCGTTTTTCATTCAATCTTCATGAAATTTTCACAGAATGAAGAGAAGAGATAATACTAAACATTTGTCTGTTGAATTTTTTATATATGGAATAGATTTTTGTTGGTGGTGTCTGGAGTGTGGATTTTCACGGATTTTTCGCAAACTTGAATGCGACCTAAGGAAAAAATTCATTAAAAATGTTCTAATTCGTTTCGGAAAAAAACAACCAATTTTTTTTAAGATTTGATGTTTGTAAACTCGCCTCCAAAAAAAGAATCAATTCCCATTAGCGATAAGTGCGGTATTCATTACGTAAGAGGTGTCAACAAAATCCAATATGGTCGGCGTATCCATGGAAACGAAACTTTTTTTCTCAATTTGATTGCTGATTTCAAGAGTCCATACTATACTTGTTATATGTGTGAAGTTTGGTAAAATTCGGTCCAGTAATATGCGAGATTTCAACCACCGGCCAAATTGCCACGCTGAGGATTATTATGGAACAGTCCCTGGAGTGGAACTCCCAGCTGATTGTCTACTTCCTTGACTACGAGAAGGCCTTTGACAGTATAGACCGAACGACACTATGGAAGATAATGAGACACCACGGAATCCCACAGAAGTTGGTGAACCTCATCAAAAGCATGTACGAAGGGACAAGTTGCAGGGTTGTACATGATGGCCAGCTCACGGACTGCTTTGACATCAAGACTGGAGTGAGACAGGGATGCTTACTGTCACCGTTCCTCTTCATATTGGCAATCGACTGGCAGATGAAGGAAACCACTAGAGGACACAGAAATGGTATGCAGTGGACACCATGGACACAGTTGGACGATCTGGATTTCGCAGACGACTTGGCGCTTCTGTCGCACACCCAGGAACAGATACAAGCAAAGCCGTCAGTATTAAACAGCCTATCGGAGTCTGTTGGATTGAGGATCCACCCCGGAAAGTCAAAGGTACTAAGGACAGATACACAACGAAAGGAGCAGGTCATAATAAAAGGAAAGGCCCTAGAAAACGTTGAATCCTTCTGTTATCTTGGGAGCATAATTGACAGAGAGGGAGGAGCAGGTGCTGAAATAAAGTCCCGCATTGGAAAAGCACAGGCTGCTTTCATATCTTTGGATAGGATTTTGAAGACCAGAGAG